GAGTGAAGATATTGCCTAACATAGCCCTAGAAGTCACTATCTAAAGGTAGTGTCTGCGAGATAGGGACTTGAACGTTGCAAACTGGAATAAAAAAACACCCCCTAACGTGGCCAAACATAGCTTTCATATTGCCTGACACGTTGGGCCATGTTAAACCCCTATCTCGAAACATGGAATCTATGCTCGGCCACGTTGGGGAGGGGGGGGCACTTCCGGGGCTATGTTCGGTGGAAATATTGGCCCCTTCCATGCGGTGCGGGCGGTTACCGTCGCGAAGCGACGTGAATAAAGCCACATCATCTCTCACCTTCAGACTCTCAATTTCCACTTCTTCGCAATTTTCCTTCCATGGCTCATCATTGTCATCTCCAATGTAGAAGTGAACCGCGCGATTTCCATGATCTTCTGCATCATCATGCATCTGGTAAGTCGAAGATGATTGGCTCACTGTTCTCAGTTCTCAACCCTCCTGACCACTGGTTTTGTCTCTGCTGAACTACTCTGCTGACTCACATTGGCTTCTTGACCAACAGTATGAGTAGTCACTGAAGCTCCTCGTGAAGAGGAATGGCCTGTATCACTTGCAACCGGTCGAATCTTGTTTCTCGAGCAAGATGTGTGGGCTTCCCACAATTGTAACACGTTGCAACACCTTTTCCTTTCTGGTCTTTGCCCTTACCATTGCCCTTGCGATCACCTTCCTTTCCTGTTGTTCTTTTCCTTTCTTTCCTTTGTCCTTCGTATCCTTACCTTTACCTTTGCCTTTCTGGTAGTCATTCTTACCTTTCTCGCCTTTCCTTTGGTGTCTTGAGCCATAGCCATGGGTCCTTGATAGTCTGTACTGCTACTTGCCACCATTGAAGTAGCCCACCTCTGCTGAGAACGATCCCATTCCAACACTTGTTCCCTCAAAGTTGAGCGTTGAACATTCTCGCCAGTTGTCAAATTCATGTAGGATTTGAGCTGTCCACCTACACATCTCAAAAGAATAGCAGATTTCAACTCTTCTTGAATTGCCGTTCCTGATTTGACCGTCTCATGAAATACTTCTTCAAGCTTAAGGAGGTTGTAGAGCACTTTTCTTTTTTGGCCTTGCATCCAATACTGAGTCTCAGCATCGAGAAGGATGCTTGGGCGCTTGGCTTTTGGATTATATTGCTCAATTTTGCGCCGCCCTCAAAATTGCGTCATTCTGAAAATGATCTCCATCAAATTGAGTATGACTACGCAGTGCGTGAATGTCTTCGTTACACTTAAACACCCAATGCTGACGCGGTCTTCCAACTCTACGTTTCCCTATATGTTTGGGCTCGGCGCTGTTTTGTTGATAGGATACTTGTCTAAGGGGATCGTGGTTAGGGGCCCGCAATATATGTCCAGCCAAACGAACTCGCTTCTGATCCAAACCAATCGTAACGGGTCTAATTCTACTATTAGGATCACGCGGATATGCTGTTCTTGCAGCAAGTTCGAGCACCCTGTCGTTCGTCCACCGTCGGTCAATGTAGGTTGTAGGTATTTTTAGAATTTGCCTCAACCCACGTAGTTGGAAAGCCTCCATTTTCTTGCGTAAGGCTTGAGTGAGGAACACAGTCTCCAGATTATACAGCAGCTTGGTCTTAATGACAGCGCCATATATGACGAGTTGCCATTTCTTGCTTACATTGGAAGCTTTCCCAAAGACCGCTAAACGCCTCCAAGTTGACGTTGCATCTTGGATCCGTTGTGTAATTTCTCTTCTAAGGTTTACTGTGTGGTTGAGGTTGTTCCCCAAGTACGTAGCATCTCGTGCTTTATCTAGAAGTGTACCATCGGCAAAATGTATGCGCGCCTCACGGTGCGTGTTCAAGGAATGGCATTTGGCACGGTTAAGTTTCAATCCATAATATCCAGAACATTCCTCCATATGTTTCAAAATTTCATTCAATCCTCTTGGGGAAGTTGAAAAAAGAATTGTACCGTCTGCATAGTAAACGGCATCGAAGTCAACGCCCGGGATTCTTGAGTTTACAACGTGACCAGAGCTGCAGGACCTAACATCGTAATCAACACGCGTCATCACCAGCAAAAATAGATATGGACTAAGTAGGCAACCTTGTCTGATTCCCGTGCCCTGGGTTTTGACTTCCGACTTGCCATATTGGTCTTGCACAAAGAACTTCGGAGAATCGTAAAGAGAAGTGACTGCAGAGATGAAATGCTCGGAGAGACCCAGTCTTCTCATTGAATCAAACAGCTTTCCATGTTGTACTTTGTCAAACGCTTTTTCCCAATCCAAAAGTGTAATGAAATGATCCGTACCCTTTTTGTTCTGACCAGTCCTGGAGTCTCCGCACTATGTAGGTGGCCTGAGCAGTAGACCTATTAGGTCTAAAACCATATTGCGCGCTAGCAAGGTTGGGGTCCACTGCCTGCTGTATCCTGTTTCTGACTAAAGAAACAAAAATTTTGTATATAGAATTCAATAAGGAGATTGGTCGGTAGTTTGAAGGCGTTTCAATACCACCCTTTTTGTAGATTGGAACCACACGTGCTTCACAAACTTCATTTGGGACATGGGCGTGGACCCACCACGCATTTAAAATGGATATCAATTTGCCCCTGTTACTGGAGTCGAGACATTTATACGATTCAACAATGATCTGGTCGGGACCCGGCTGTTTACCTGTCTTCATCTTTTTGAACAAGTCATTCAACTCATTGAGGGTAAACAAAGAGCTATCGCAAACCGCAGTCTCGCCAATCTGACTTTGTACCGGGAGCAGGTCTCTTCCAGTCGTATTGAACCAGTGCTCGTCTTGGAGATAAGTCGCAAAAGTTTCCGCGCGTTTTTGCAGTGGGACTAATCGTCCCCGGGAATCTTTTAATTTGATGTAAGAAGGTTTGTAATCCTTTTTAAAGCTGCCAACTGTCTTCCACAATCTCTTCCTATGTGGATCCCCAGGTTGGTCTTGAAACTGGTTCACTATGTTGCTTTTGCGGTCTACCCGCGCGGCCTCTTTTATTTGCCTGTCTAGAGCCTTCACTTCGATATGACTCCCATCAAGGCAGCAAGTCTGCCTATAGTTAATGAGTCGCCATGTCCTAGAAGAGACATAGCTCTTTTTTTCCGCGTTCTCTAGACAAGCATTCTTCTGCGGCTGTGACCAAGGACTGGTTGAATGCTTTCCAAATCTCTGCGTCTCCATCACGTGAGCTCGCTAGCAATCTGGACACGGTTCTGTTATCATCTAGCCATTGGGTTTGTGTGGGCTTAATAAAATGGCTAGGCACCGGGCAACTCCCTGCTAATTTCAACCTGAGATTGATTTCAACTAGATAGTGATCCGTGTTCAGATATAAATCAGTGCGGCTTTGTACATTCGCGCAGCTGTTTCTATGCTGCTGTCTCGTTTACCAAAAATCAATCTGTGCATGGGTGTTTGGGGCGAAACCACTTCCAATGTCGGTCGTGTTTTCTCTGAAAGCCGCTTGTTTGGCCGGAGGCTTTTGGAAATCAGTATTCAGAATTCGTAGGGAATTGGAAGCACAAAAGTCAACAAACAGGTCTCGATTTTCTTTAGTAGATTGAGCAACCCCTTCTAGATATGCCCTGCCAAACATATGCGGCCCCATGATCTCGCGTTCATTATTGTATCTATGCTGCAATCTAGCATTGAAATCTCCTCCAATATAAACCGGTTCAGAGATTTCGTTACACATGTTTTGCAGGAGATCGTAGAAGTCATCTTTGGTACCACTTGTATGACCACTATGTGGCGCATATCCACAAATGAAGGCAATATTAGAACCCAGGGATTTCAACCGAATAGCCATGATTCTTCCGTTTATTTGTTGAACCTCATATATGAACGGCTTCATCCGACAATGGATGATAATCCCAACTCCTGCGTGCTCCCTGTCTGACCTGCCCGGTTGGGTATCGCTGCTAAAGAAGATGATGAAGTCATTGTGATATTCAACGCTAGAAGTGTTCACTTGGGTTTCGGCCAGCAGTACGATGTCCAACCTTTCTTTGTTCATGACCTCAGTAAGATGCTGTCGCTTAGTGATGCCATTCTCACCATTCAGTCCCCTAATGTTGAGGGTTCCCACTTTCAATGGTATACCGTACGGCAGTCGGCATCCTTATTTTTATGGGTTTTGTGTTGTTTGTTGAAATTTTTACAGGCTTCCTTCTTGTATGTTTGAAACGCCTGTTTCAAACAGGCAAATCTATTTCGTCTGCGCCAAGCTTCCTGAACCTTTGCAGGCCTTCCAAACTTCCCGTATATCCTCTTATAGTATCTCCACAAACGTCTGTTGCAAGCTCTTTGTTGATTCCTCTTGCGATTACGCAGCCTCTTACTCGTGTTTTCTTTCTGAGGGAAGTCATTTGGGGGGATTTCGCTCTTTGCAGGGAAAACCCTACAAAGGTCCGGGCACACCTCTGGACGGTACTTAGGACTATGTACGTTATGGCTGTGATGTTTGTGGGCCCCGGAGGATTTTGCGCCATAAGCAGGAATCTTTATGAATTTCCTGCTTGGTTTCTTTCTTACTCTTTCCTTCAATCCTATTCCCTTCAGAACCTGCCTAGTTCCTTCACATTCGGATCCGCGCTCACTTGTGGAGCACGTAGTCAACTATCTTGCCTCTCTGCGTCTGCCTCATTTTCTCACCCCATCTTGCGTCCCTGATCGTGTAGTACTCTTCGTTGCTCCTCAACGTTGCGAACTTCAGGAGGTACGTGTATTGGTTGTATTCTGGGCATCTGGTTTTGCTGTTTGCTTCTCTCCATCCTGCCGACCAGTTATCATTGATCACGTTGAAATAGTCCTGGTGAATGTTGAGGTACATGTACTTGCTGTCGTCCTTGTCTCTGACGAGCTTAAATATGTCTGCGTTGTCCGACGTACGCGCCGCTAGCTTGTCTTGCCACTTCACTGCCACTTTGTTCCAGGAATTGGCCAGGTCGCTTTGCTCATATTTTGTGACAATGTGTAGCGCTGCCTGTATGGTCAAATTGATTTCTCTGTCCATGTCACTTGTTTGAGGCAAGAAGCTAATTCTGTGGGGCTGAGATCCGTAGTACACTGTGTTGTCGTCTTTGTCCCAGATGGTGACTGGGTAGTGTTTGTTGTAACGCTTGTAGATGTATGTTTCAAAGGTGTGTTTTGCCCATTCGTCTTTCCAACGCATGATGGTAATTGGGGATCTCTTGTATCTGCCATACATGTATCTGCCGTTGCTGGTGTAGTACTGGTCCGCCACACCCGCCTTCTCCACGTACCATTGTACCACCTTGTTCCTTTCGTCGTCTGAGAAGTGACGCGGCCATCCTTTTGCAATAGTCTGCTTTGCTGCTTCTCTTTGTCGCTGTGCATAAAGGGTCTGGTGAACATGCTGCGTTAGGATGTCCACATCCTTGATGTCTGCCCGCAAGTCGGCCGAGTGCTGCTCTAGCTTTTGTACACTCTGCTGGAGGTTCAAGACTTGTTGTTGGAGCTCTTGAACAAAAGGTTGCTGGCCCGTCCTGGCCATAGAGTCATGCATCGTCGTCATCATTTGCTTTGCTTCTTGCATTTGCTCTTCAAACTGCTTGCTAAGTTTCTCTGCTTCTTCTGTTTTTGTTGGATGTTTCTTTGCTGTGTGAGGGGTGGAGGCTTGCATGGTTCTTTCTTCTGCTGATGCCAGTTGCTGTTTCCATCTGGGATCCTTCCCTTTTGTGCGCTCTTTGGTGTAGAAGGTCTTGTATGCTGAGGATGCTGAAGCTGGGAACAGTTCTCTCTGGGTGTGTTTGTCTTCTTCTTTTTTCTCTCTCTTCTTTATCAACCCCTCTTGGGTTGTTCGGTTGTCTGGACATTGATGCTGGTGTGGAGTCTTCTTTATGGCGCTTCTTCGAGTCCTCAGTCTCTGCTTCCTCCATGGCAGTCTACTTCTTTGGGGCCTGGATACTTGAGCCCCCGAGTGCCTGTTCATCGTAAATGCTGGCCACGTAGTGGCAGCTCCCAAAAGTGCTAGTCCTCTAGCCTTTTACGTAGGTTTCAAAGCTTTGTTCAAACTGCCCCTCACCAACGAAGCTAACAATCCATAGAGCTTGATACACCTTGCTTTCTCCTCTGTAGTTGCCAAGTCCATATCAAAGCTCTCATTCGGTTTGTCATCAATCTCCTTCAGATCCTTCGTGTAAGCCTCACCCACTGAGCTCAGATATTCCCAAGTACCCGTGACCACTTTCTGAACGCTTTTATCACTTCTTCTTCTGATTTGTCATCGAATAAGTTGGGCTTTGTGACCAGCTTTGACCAATCAGTTGTTGCTGCTTTCTTATCTTCAACTGCCCTCTTTACTGCCTCTGCTGCTGATGCTGTTGCTTGCGTGCTTTTTGCTACGACTTCAAGGATTTCTCTGATCTCTTCCATCGTTCCCGAACAATATTGTCCCTCTGACACAATGTACGGGGTACAGAGTGCAGCTCACAACAGTTTGTCACCAGTTCAGCAGTTTGGGTTCCAAAGGCACCAAATCGTTCGAAACGCTCCCGGGATTCCAGTGACCTAGGGGCCTTTCTCTGGAGCTCAAAGCAGGGTTCCCTTATCCTTGCTCCGCTACCGCGCGAACTTTTTCTCGATACTCAAAGGGCTGCGCATTGGTGAGAAAGTGACAGTAGTACTGTACAATCACACATGTGAGCTATGTTACAAATTCTTCACATATCATAATATATGCTATCCAGCACTTCTGCCATTCTGACAAACCGACAAGCCACGACAAAACCATAGTCGTTTTGCTCCTTGGCTCCTGGGAAGCCCACAAGGGTGGTTTGGTATGGCCTTGCATGGTGTTCACAGGTCGGCCCAAGCGCAAATCCACCAAGCGAAGAGTGGCGTCTTCCAAAGCCACAGCTACCTGCCAACTCATGAAGCTCCGCAGGTCGCAGGGAAGAACATCTGGGAATTGGTGAGCTCCCAAGCGATTTACATGGATTATCATAGATTTGTTCAAAGGCTTCGGAGTATCTTCTGAGTCCCGTCGCCTTTTCCATGACTCTGCTAACAATATCTTGCATCTCAGGTATCAGTGCTTTCTTGACAGTACTTCAAATGTGCTTGTGGCACAACACCCGAATGCAATCTTCTGCAGCTAAGGAACTTTGCTAGTGTCAGCTGTTCAACGCTTGTTTGAGGCATGCACATTGTGAGATTCAAAACGTTTAAGTTGCAAAATGAAACCGTTTCATACCGTTTCAACTCTTTGTACATGTTAAGTTTCTCTCTCCACACCCCTACTATCAATCACCACACCACACAACAGGCAACTAGAGCTTTCCCTGCTGGCTTGCCAGGCCCACTAACTCTCAGCCGCCGCCTTCGCTTGATTGTTGATGGCCAGATTTCGCACTGAGCTGTGTAGGTCCAAGCTCATCACTGACACCCCTTCAGCCTCAGAAGGGTCGATTGTTTCGGTCAAGAGCTCGAGAGGAGATATCGAAATTGTGTTTGCGAAAAGAAAAAAGCCTCCCTCGTACAACTCTGTAGTATGAACAGCAAACACACACCCTCTAAAGCTGTCTTCGTTGCTCGTGTTGCTCTGTGGTCCGACATTTTGTGTGACTGCTCTTTCAGATACAAACCAAAGAACTATTGCTGGAGGATGAAGCGGCAATCTGGCATGCCAGCCTCTTCAGCCCCGGACTGCGTCCCAAATTTTGAGGAAACCATCCATGGCGCCAGAGGTGAAGAGCCGACTGTCCTACAGGGCCCAAGTGGTTCACTCGAGGTTCCTGTGGACTTCTGTTTCCACAACATCTCACACTGTAGATCACTGTCTTTAGACATTCACTGGAAGGCCTGTGGCAACCATGCCAAGCCCTCCACTGAGTCTTTGTGGCCCACCTCAGCAAGGTGATCATGACAGTTTCTTTGACCCGATCTGAGGTCGCAGCTGTTTGGCCAGAACTTGCCAACTCCGGATCGTCCTAGCGCGCGAATAAGCTGAAACCGTTCGAAGCAACAGCCAACAGCATCAGAGAGCCACCAGCCATTCAGCCATGTGAAAGATATCCTTCCACAAATCTCGGCCTTGAGTGCTTTGGAGGTCACTTGCAAGGTGGAAAGCTCCGAAATGGCGACTGACCCATCTCTCCCGCCAGTGAGTACCTAACTGCAGAACTGATGGGAAACGCGAAGTCAACTTTTGAAGAGTCTGTGTTTGTGAATACGATCATGAAACTAACCAAGAACAATAAAATAAAATGTTGAGACGACTTTCCAGTTCAACCTATCATTGCCTTCCGCTGTTCACCTCATCTCGCACAGTCTTGGTTCCCTGCCAAACGTTTTCGTTGTTTCTCCACGGCGATGCGGTTGACACCCGTTTCCTTGGGAATGACAGTTGCGAACTTGAGTTGCGTTGTCCCGTGGACTAGTGTCATCTAGAGAAGGGCTCGTAGGACCCAGTTGGATCAGAGTCATTATAGTGTCTACATACATAAATAGCTACTCGTATCATATGTTGAAAGTTACCTCTTCAGGCTTGACCTTTGATTCTCGTTTCCTTCGGGCACGTCGGTAGCTTTGGATGAAAGGTTGTCGATTCGTCATTCGTCAGTGATCTTTGGTTGTTGTGGGATACCCTCAGTTTATTCACCATACTAGTAATAATATATAATAATATAGCAGGCACCCGCAATGTAAAACTGCAGTACTTTCTGGGTCAAACAGGATTCGATTTGAGTTCAACAGCCCTGCATAATTTGCACATATGCTTTGCCAAGGCACGTGTGGCTGGCCACTTTGTGCCAAGGTGATCTCTTCAGCATCCCACGGTCCCATGTGATCGGCATTACGCTGGAAAGCTAGAATGCACTGTGCAAGGAAGTATCTCTACATATGTTTACCATGTCTTCACGATAAGCAACAAATTCAGATAGATTACCGTCACAGGGCTATAGGCTATGGGCTTGAAGAGGTTGAAGCTTTCAAGACTCGCTCTAGCTTCTGCCACTCTAAGACTCTAGGCTGCATTTCTCTTCATATCGCTGGAGTATTGTCACCAAAAAGCATCAAAACAGCGAGCTCGTCTGATTTCTGATTCTGCTGGAGATAGGCTTTGACCTTTGAAATATCGTATGTGTGCTTAAAAGAACAAGCTCAAACCATGAAGATCCAGTTCAAGAGCCGCTAGCTGGTAGCTTTTGACCTGTAATCTCCTTTTGGAGATGGGCTTCGCACTCGCCACTCGCAGTCCTTGGAGCCAAAAAAAGAGAAGTTCTAGACGTGTCCTAGACCTACAACAGCGTTCTATGGCGTTCTGGCCATGCAACATGTTTCCAAATGCTGTCTGACTGCAAGATGCCCTGTGCCACTCCATCGACCGTCTTTTGTCATCTGTAGCTGCTGCGCAGCTGTCTACGTAGGTAGGTGTCTATCCCGTCTTCCAATCAGCCAACTACTCACTTGCACCAGCAGGTCCTCCGCTCTCCACCCTTGACACTGAAATCACGATTCAACATTCAGGTGCAAAACCGAATAGCAGCAATAACTGTACACGGCGAAACAAAACTTCATCAACAAAATCTCGTGAACTGCCTGCCATTGCAGCTTAACATGAGCACTCTTAGGGCAGTGAAGCACCCACAGACCTGCTCGTGCAGCCCTCCAATTTTGGAGTGTGCGTAGTTTACAAGAGTCTTGTTGATGCTTTTTACAGTCGCCAGCAGGTGGCTAGTGTTGTGGCCTGGACATACAGCCGCTCCCAGGGCAAACTATTTACAGCATCAATTATTAGACTTATCACACACTGTTTCCACCCGTGGGACAAAGATATGTGGTGGTTGAAGATGTACCGCAATTTTGGCCTGCTATTATTGATAAAAATGGTCCATCTCCAACAAAAACCCTAAACTTCTACTATGTTATCAGGTCCTCACATGTGTTTCAGGACTAAGTGGCGAGGGTGTATCAAAATTGTCATAGTTTCAAGCCAGCTTACCGTGGCAAAGCTTCAACGTCATGCAAAAAATTGGAACTGGTAAACTAACTGCAGCCTTAGAGTCGCCTGTTCGTCGAACATAAAGGTTTCTGAATTGAATTTAAATCTCACAACTGACGAACTCTACTAGAAGTTTGACTGTTCGTTCAAGTACTGCACCAAGACTAGGCATTCCTCCCCTCCCCTTCTCTTACCGGCCACCTGCTGACTGGAGGTGGTTTCCCTCTCAGAGCTGGATACCAACCCAGCCACTCCACATAGGCCGCTCTTCAGTGTTCTTGTCATTTTGAGTCAGTAGGCAGCAAAGGAGAGCACCCAGGAAAAAGCTCAGCATCGACCGGAAGTCCTGGAGGAACATTGAAAAATTTGCGAAAGAAGATGGTTTCTTCAGGCCCTGCGACTGATTGCGTGGCTTAGTGTTTCAAAGTGTTCGGTTCATATAAACCATTGTAAACTTACGATTATATATATATAGAGTGTTCGATGATAAGGGTCAGGAGGCCTATTCAAACGGGCCCTCACCTTATTCTTGTGGTGTTCAGACAAAAGCCAACTTGAAAACAAAACGTACCTCAAGTACTGGATATTACTGGTAAACTGAAAGAAGGCCCCGGCTGACCGCTGCAAAAAGGTTGCCCTTCTCTAATCGGAACAAATTGTTTCCGGTGAAATCATGGAACAATGATGAACAATGATTATGATTAAGAGTCCTCATTGAGTGTGGAATCGTTTTGGCAAGGGGGCGGGCAGCGTGTGCATATTGAGTTCATCCAATCAATGCAAACACTGAAGGAAACCTTACTATATAATTGCAACCTGTACTATACCAGTGTGCGTGAAGGTGAAGAAGCTGCGTGCCGCAAGATACTGCTATCACTATAAGGTATGTGGTGGTTGGTCAAAATTCCTTCTTGTTGGAAAGCCATTCTTCGCGAAAAAACGAATTTTCGCGAGTCTTTCGCGAAGTCCATGTTTAACTTTCACGGGGGGTACACCCTCCAGAAATCTTCGTGGCTTAGAGGCTTAGCGGTTCTACATAGCAGCCTAAGCACTTCCATCAAGCACCATTTTGGAAGTGCAGGCGAGGTTGAGGTGTTACAAGGCAGATTGGCGAGAACTCTCAATCGCCACCATTGGATGAATCAGCAGAACTGGTGGAGGAGGAGCTGGAAGAGCTATCAACTGTTGTTGCGCTCATGTCTTGCTAGGTCTGTCGCTGCTTGGCTTGGGCAGGGGTTCACAAAACAAGCCTTCACATTGGCCTATGCTTTCGCGAATCTTTCGCCGAAAAATGTCGCGTCATTGGTGGGTTTCTAGGCGCAAAGCGTAACAACCAGTGGCAGCAGCAGCAGCAGGCAGGAGGAGTAGAAGGCAGTGGTAGTGGTAGTGGCAGTCGTAGTTGTAGTAGTGGTCGTCGTCGTAGTTGTAGTCGTAGTCGTAGTAATAGTTGTAGTTGTAGTAGTAGTAGTAGTTGTTGTAGTAGTAGTAGTAGTGGTAGTGGTAGTGGTCGTGGTCGTGGTCGTGGTCGTGGTCGTAGTAGTGGTCGTAGTCGTAGTCGTAGTCGTAGTTGCAGTCGTAGTAGTAGTAGTAGTAGTAGTAGTAGCAGTAGTAGTAGAAGTAGATCTGGTAGTAGTAGTAGTAGAAGAAGTAGTAGTAGTAGTCGTCGTCGTGGTGGTAGTAGTAGTAGTAGTAGTTAGTTGTTGTAGCGGCAGTGGCAGTGGCAGTGGCAGTAGCAGCAGCAGCAGCAGCAGGAGCAGTAGCAGTAGGAGTAGGAGTCGGAGTAGTAGTAGTAGTCGTCGTCGTAGTAGTAGTAGCAGCAGCAGCTCACACAGCACCGTTGCAAATCACTGATGATGGTATCGCCTCTTCATGTATGCAATAAAGTATATAGTATAATAGACTCTTTTGCAGATCTTTCGCCAAAAACATTATAACTCGCGAGCTCGAGAAAAAACTTTCGCGGACAACTTGAAGAGGCTCTCAGAGCTCTCAGTGGCATAGGCCTTATGTCGACCTTCCGGTCGACAACCATGTGCCAGGAATGTGCCATTCTGCATTCTACCACACGCAGACCGAGAAAGGCTTGACTGCTAAAAAAAATTTGCTGCACTTGCCGACTCGCTACTGTCTGCTTTGTTTTCCGCTTCCATCTGCCTTCTCACGATCCGACGATGAAAACTTCTCCTGCCACATTTCACAGAGGCTGTAGCCCTGCCCAACCTTGGAGCGGCTTGGTTTATGGTCTCAGAAATGGGCAATGCTCGAAAAATAGGACAAAACCCTCTGCAGATAAGAACGGAACCAAAATGTTTGCAACCGTCTGCGTAGATTCTACATAATTCATGATTCGACTGGGCGACTAGATGCAACCAATGGACAATCACTGGGGTTCCGGCTGGGCAGCAACTGCTAGAGCGAACCAAAAAGCCCAGGCAATGGAGAACGCCTATGGGTGGAGCCATGTCACGTGTCAAGCATGTTGCGGCATTGCAGTCTGAAAGAAACGAGCCATAAACACAACTGCGAATGCCTAGACATGCGGCAGCGAAGACGGAGGCAAGGAAGCAATGCCTCAAGTGTCTGGTGGCGTGGCAACACGTGGCAACAAACCCATGTCCCAACAAACCCTCCTGCTGAAAACCTGGCAAGAAGGAACGTGCAAAACCTTAGAAGGGGAAACGAACACCAGAAAAGACCAGGAGGAGGCGACTGCACGGACAGCGGTGGAAATCTGACCAGCCCGCCTGCTGAGAAAGGTGTTCACGGATGCCGCAAGGAGACCCGTGAGAGTCTCTCTCCGGCGTCCGCTAAAAATCATGGTGGGTCGGGATGACCTTCTATTTCACCGCCCCGCGTTGGTAATAAAATCCAGGCTGTGGCAAACTGTCCTTGATTTTGGAAGACTAGGTCGGGACGGCTATGTCCTTCAAAGGTGGTCGCACGAGCCACTAGGAGAGAAGAAACCACTGTTTACAAAGCGCACTGTTTAGTAAACGCTGGCGTTCTGCTTCTGACGCGCCGTGCATGCACATGTGCTGAAAAGCACTTGGCTAGCACAGCCCCATCTCCACGTGTGACCCATTCTACCAACTAAACCTCGGGGGGCTGGAGGCGAAATAGGGCGCGCAGTATCAGACTGCAACTCTGAGAACAAAGCCCTTCTCCATTCCAGCGTGGACACGCCAGTGGCCACCTTCAAAGGCTGCGAACGCCCGATCGGATAGGCACCTCCGAACTGTAACGAAGGAAAACATGCCCATGTAATATGTACGCGGTTCTTGTCCTTGCCTGCCGTCGTGTCCATGCACGATGCTGCAGCTCCGGAGAGGCGCAGGTGTGTCTTTCCCTGTGATCTACCAGGATTCCTTGCGACGCGCCACTTTGGGTATAGATGATCTGTTTATGGCCTCGGAAGTCTTGCGTCCTGCCCTTTGGTCTACCAGCCTTTGTTGATGATGCAGGTGACAAAATTTACCTTGCATCTTTTGCGTCGCCAACTCACCAAAGGTAGCCTCCGCCAAGAAGAAAACACCGGCAGGCTGTCATGATTGTACCACACGGAGGCGCGTCTGCCCCGGGCCCTAAACGCACTCCGCTCGCAGAAAGTAACTTAAGCCTATAGCCTATTGACTGGCTTTCGTAATGATGAGCGTTCGAATCAGAAAGTGTCACCAACCTTCACTTTTGTTGACCGTGAGGTCGGATACTATAGGGATCACCGCGTCGAACTCTACAAGCACCAAGGGAGCAGGGGTCAGTTCATACATGCCCTCTAAGAGTCTAATGTATGCACGTGAGGGGGACAGGCGTTGAAATTGCATTTTCGAACGACAGGGGTTGAACATAGAGACCAAGAATGTATCCATATTGAACTATGTAATACACTATTCGTGTTCTCCTGTTGTTTATGGAAACGTTGGCTTTGGGATATGTATGAAAGGCAGGGGAGGATCTAGCCTGAATGTATGCATATGGGAGGCTCACTCACCTATGCACACCTACATTCTTTAGGCATTTGCGGCTATTGTATGAACAGGGGGACAGGGTCAACAAGCACTTAACAAAATGGTCCCTTGTGGAATTACCTGTGTACCTGAGAGCGATAAAGCGAGAAACCAAGCTCCGAGGGCAGTTTGCCCCACTATAGAATCAAATATCAACCTCCTGCAGTGCTGGAAACATATTCTCTATAGAATCAAGTGCCCCAGGGTATGGGCGTTCATCATCATGAAAGATTGAAAGCAAAAAATGCGAAATCAATGATGCGTAGCCAAGGTTGGTGCTGATTCTACAGAGAAGTGCGGGGACCTATGAAGGTTGAAATTGATTACAAAAAACTTGGACAGAAGTGGCCCAAGAGGTTGGTTTTGATTTTACAGAGAAGTGTAGTGAAATTGGTAATTGGTTTTAGAAAAACATGTGAAGAATATATGAAGGTTGAAAATGACATATGAAGGTTGAAAATCAACCTACCTGACCTTACAACACACCATCCACTCTAAAATCAATTCTCAACCTTCTACTACTCCAGATGCTTTCTATAGGATCAAATGTTAGGACCTCTATAAATTCTGGTGACATGACGTGCCCTCTCTATAGAATCAAATGTCGAGAGAACAAACTGACTTTTTTGGACCCCATGTTTAGAGTGTGGTAGTTTTTCCGATAGGTTGATATTTGATTCTGTAAGAGACTTGTCTAAAAAAATTGAGGGTCGTTTTGAGCTCAAGCTCCCAGATTCTATAGAGGATATTCGGCAGGGGATACAAAATGTATGAAACAAAGGGGGGAGAGACTGGCCTATGCACGCACACCATGGGGTACAACGCTGCAGTATTGCAAGTCACGACCAAAAATGACAAAGATTGTGGGGTGGGGTTCGTGGAGGGATTTTGGATTCTGAGATTTATTTGCTTCTTTTGTGTTTGGCAAGGGGGTAGGAAACGTCTTCAGGAAGGATACTTTGTTCAAGGGAAATGTATGAAAGGGGGCGGGAGACATCATATATATACATATATATATATATTCTGTAATCATGTTATTGCCCAAGCTTTTGGGCAGAACGCTGGCGATCGCATGCCCTGGTTGTTTTCATTCTTTGGGGGGCCTGCAATGCCACGGCCCATCCAGGAAACTCCAGCAGCCCTAGTGCAAATTGTATGAAGCCATGGGGTCGAACAATTCTTAGGAAATCATGGAAATTCTGGAAGCTGATATTTTTTTGATTGTGTATGAAAGCAAGGGAAGGAAACCGCCCGGAGGAAGCATACTTTTTTCAGAGGAAATGTATGAAACGGGGGGGCAGGGGGCATTCATAATCATGTCATGATACTTATATACAACTTCCAAGTAAAAATGATGTATAAAATCACTTCCCGGAATGAAATCTGGAGACAGGGAAATGTACATTGAGAGGGGGGTACACCCCCCTTGAATATATATATATATACATTTATGTGACCCGGTGAATCTATAAAATACTTGCATAACCCATGATACTGAACTTCAAACAAGTCATCCTGTTGAGTTGAGTGGCCTTTGGGTGCTTGCAAAGACTAAGATCTAAAGCGGCGTAGCTCACTTTGGGTAAGACTTGTTCAAATTACAGTGAACCATGGTAAACCCTGGCCTGTGCAAAGTACGCCTTTCACAAATAACGTCTATACAAGTGAGTGGTCGTCGTCAGCTCCGACCAGCATTGCCTAGTGCTCTGCTTGAATGGATTTTCAAGCTGTCCGATGGTGCAACGCATTTGATGTCGGTGAGCTGCCTGGAACTGTGGATGGGGGTTAGGTTAGCTACTGGTTGTTGTACGCGGATCCAGTTGGCTATTGGTGACATCTTCCGCATCGGTGGGGAGATTTGCTTCATCGGACCTTGGCGGCCTGTATACTCGGGTGTTTTGCCGTCTTTTTGGCAGGGAGTAGGTTTTGAATGGTTTTGAGTTTTTCTTTTGAGCCGGCCAAGCTCTCCCCGAAAAGAGTCCCGTGGTCTCTTTCTGTTGCAGCGTTTGATCCACACGCAGGTGGCCATAAACTTGATTAATCTTGGCCGCCTCCCTCTTTGGGTGCTGCATGGCTAGAGTCTGCTACAGGCCATGCACAGTGGTACGGTGAATCTGACTCCTCCGCTCGTGCGTGGTATACAAGTGAGGGGTGTTCGGTGTTCAAGTTCAAAATCACTGCCAGCCAGAGGGCCAATTTCACCTGGTGAGCGCAGGCAAAGACCTTTGTAGATAAGTGGAGAGTGTTGCAAGCACCCTCGTCTCCACTTGTCCTGCTCTGCATGAGACTAGCAAGTCAGCTGCTGCTCGGAAGTATGTCGGGTCAACTTCTGCTCGAAAGTTTGCAGGGGAATGTCAAGAAGCCCAGTTGTAGCAGAGAGTAGGCTTGACCAAAGCTCATTATGCTGCTCAGTTGATCACAGTATGAAGGTTGCAGAGAGTCGAATGAGTGGCAATTGGGACATTGAACAAGGGCGAATGGGGAAAAGGAACGAAATGAGAGCTCCTGAGGCGCGGGCGAAGGGTTTCTCATCTGTTCTCTAATTAATTCTAATTATATACTACTGTACAATTCCCTTCTTACAGTGGGTCTTGCGCAAAGCTTGTGTTCCGACACATGTGTGCATGGCTTTGTCTTGCGGTGCACTCACGGCCGATGTAGCCCAAACAAAAGAACAGGAATGTAGAACGCTGCTCAAATGGATCTGAGAGCCGTTGCAGCAGGATCTGCCCAGGATCTGCCGTTCCGGACTGGCGCGAAGCACCTTCCATGTGCAGACCATCAGTACATGCTGCTGAAACACGACAAAAAGAATAGATTGCAGTTGCAGCGACTCTTCTGTCAATTCAAACTCTTCGTTGAAGCAAAATTGCGCAGGCTGACAAGGTTGCCAAGAGTCGGCTAATGTGCGTACCCTTCAGCACTTGAAATTTTGTCTGGAGTCAAGGTCCCGTTCCCCAGTACCCTGGGCACAATATCTGCTGTGGACACTTGAATTTGTTAAAGTCAAGAGTCCTGGAAGACTAAAGCTCACCCCGAATAATCTTATCAGCATTACAAGATATTACTAGCTCATACAAGGTCTCCATCCTCAAAAATCACTACACCACCCGTGCCCAAAAAGCGCCAAATCCTCACCTCTTCTTATGGAGAAATCAAACATGGCTCGATGGGTTCAAGAGCCGATCTTTCTTTTGGGAGTTGGCGTGATGCCCTTTGAGCCAGAACAAAAAGCGCAAACGCATAGGGCATCCCGCTGTTTCAATCCCTTCAGAAAACTACCCTTCAGTGCTCCCCTTGGGGAAGACCCCAATTGTGCATTCAGATTGTGCAACTTTGAACAGAAAAATCAGAAAAGCACCTCTGCAACATCCAAGCTTTTGCATCTCGCGTGACGGTCGCGGAGTAGGCACTAGTTGTCTTGTGGGTAGGCGGCTCATACGTCCATGGCTTTGGCCACTTGCTCCTGGGCCTGAGACAGTGCAAACCTGCACCGGGATCCAACATGTCAAAAATATCAAAAGCAAAGCACAACTATTTGTTTAGATAAAACGTGCTGTGTGGCCGGCTCGTTTTCTTTCAAGCTCAAGTTCATACCGCCTTGGCCATGCCAATGTCGAAGCGCAACTCACAAGTCAAGGCGAATGTTCCTTTCATCTGTCATGCTGTATTTATCTGTAGCTAGTACCTGCCTCAAGCGCCCTGCAGGAAATCAAACAAGAAAGGCTTTCGCAAGAGCAATCAAAAAAAAGAAGAGCTTTCAAAAAGAACCAAAGGAAGTGTTGGACTCTGTGCTGCCAACGCAGATGTTTCCATAGCGCTGTTTCCCATATTGACGAACGACAGAAACACCTCGGCAGCAATAGTCTGAAGTCTGAAGCCACAAAAAACAACAGGTGCGCCTCTTGGCTGACTACCACCACCAAGGAAACAACCCCAAGCTACAACTTGCGTCAAATAGGCCAACATGATGCCGATAGACTGCTAGACATGCACAAAATTACCCTTAGACTTATGCACCTGCTTTGCAGCCACCTGCGGCTTGGCCTCCCCACCATAGTGCCCAACAATGGCACTGTGAGGCCTATGGCAAGACCCAACTTATTGTTCTTTGGCACCACCCTGGCACAGTATCCGACATGCGAATCATGCAGAAGGAGGAAATAATGAATTGATTCCTACAAGATGGCATCACACAAATAGCTTGGCTTTGCAGTCATGCACTATGCGACTATGCACTTGTGCATCAACTTAACTCACTCATCTCGCACATGACAGGTCGACTGGTGGTAAGCAGCTGAGAAAACTTTGGAAGCTTTGGACCTTTGCAGACGCAGAGTCGTTTTGAAAGACGGACGGCAATTGTCTTTGCAAGGGAGAATTCTGGGTATTGAAGGTGCAGGCCGCGAAGACCAGTAGGTTGAAGCTACTGGAAGCTACTGTCAGTAACCAAGAAGAAGCTAAATAGCAAAGCTAAGCAGCTCAGCTTACTAGTAGTAGGAAGACAAAAAGGTGCTTGCATGGAAATCAAGCTTTTGGGGCTCATAAACAAGCCACACAAATGTGTGCTTCACGACACGACTACCACCACGTTCACATACACGTGAACCCTGCGTCCAGTGCTCTCTGTGCGGAATTAGCCCTTAGCCTTATACAGTCCAATACACCATCTTGCTAAGCCTCCTGATCCTCATGCATGTGTCTCTTTCTGGATTCCTTCAGTCTGGAAAGACCTTGGGATGTCCCTTTCAATACACCCAGGCCTGGCGCAAAGTCCCAAATAGTCCCAGGGAAGACCTATGCTACTAGTAACAAGGGCATCGCTACTAGGAGCAAGGACGCTACTAGTAGCTCCTGGCATTACTACTAGGAGCTACTAGTAACAAGGGGATCGCTACTAGGAGCAAGTACGCTACTAGTAGCTCCTGGCATTACTACTGGGAGCAAGAAGCTACTAGTAACAAAGGGCATCGCTACTAGGAACAAGAAGCCTGTCAAGTTCCGTCGCGCAAATCCCTTCAGGGCATGACGCGCTTGAAGGCGCCCGTTTGGACACTCTCAGCGTAGTCCGCATAGGTGGTGGGAAGGACTGGGCCGATTCGAATTGATTGCACGAACCTTCTCAGCTTTCCTCAACTTCTAAGTAAACTGGTGATTGCAATTAATCGAGTTGATTGCTACAATGGCCAGCCCTTTATACCTGAAGCCTAGGGCTTAGATCATTGTCACAAGGCAAATTGCAGCATCATGGCTACACCTCACACCTCGCTTACTCCTCACAAAATTGAAACTCCCAGCTGTAGACTGCATGCTATGTCTGGAAGCTTGGAGGGTCGATTCTTTAAAGGATTGGCACCCATTGGCCTCCATCTCTCTGTGGTAAATGAAGTTTTCCCCGAGGTAGCCCGCATTGGCAGCCACTCGATGCGCCTGCACCAAAATTTGCTGGTTCCGGTGCAGTAAGAGTGAGCGACATCAAGTGGCAGGATTGATGGGGCCAAAGGCCTGCATAGTGATGGTGTTACATACAATTTCAACAATTTCGAGCAATCTACAGTATTGCATTGCAAAAAGGGGTGTTTAACTCACACTTTCACACTTCGAACTTCGAAGATGTCACTCACTTCAACAAACGACATGGAGCTGGAGACTGGAGGCAGTGAAGCCTGAAACCTGATCACGCCTCACTCCTCTTTCTATATAGACTTCTGGTAGGGAGATCGATCAGAATGAGTAAAGCCTAAATATCCATTATATTCCATTATAGTGCGGTTGCTTTCGCAAATCTGCTGAATCCAGGAAGAACGGTGCCTTGAAGTTCTGTTTCCAGGACGAGCTCATGGCGGCGAAAAATGATAGGACTATGGTGTCCGAGATGTCTATTGTTGGGGCTTTGGACCATTTTGTATTTGGTTCGTGCTCGGAGTGCGATTGGTTCCTTTGCTGGCATCACCGTTGCTAGCATCAACCCTCTTGGCAAACTGCAAAGTCAATGAGAAAGCAAGAGATCGATATGATCATCAAAGCCTCAAAACAACAGAGATGCAAGCAAGTTCATCAGCCCTCAGTATCCGGCACAATGCAAAAGCATTAAACTTTTTACATTCCTTCCAACGAGTTCCGGCATGCGACCAGTCAATCTCCATTGTGGGTCAGTGTGGAAGGTGTTGACTGGCAGACACAAAAAAAGAGACTGTGCCATTAATCAATGAAGCGAGGAGCTTCCACCCCCAGAATGACACACAAAACGTCTATGCAGCATTCGACATGACCTGGTTTGCTTAACCGCTATGTACCCTTTGCATGCCATCCACACTCATCTACAGCTGGTCTGGTGAAGAGATGTCCACGAAAGAATCTGATGTAGGTGTCGGGAGACAACAAGCAGTGCATATTTTCTTTTGAAGAGTTGTCAGTGTTCAAGCCAAATTTTGGCAGCTAGCTCACTCCGTTTGTGAGACACTAGAGCTCAAGAATGTCTGCAGACTTGGGCTCTGACGCGAACCGATGCCGCTCTTTCTGACCAAAGATTCCAAGACGTTCTCTACACGACATTGTAAAGATTGTAACTATTGTAAGTATTATGCCTGAATAAATCACATATTGTAAGTCTGTAAATAGAATTGCTGGAAAGTATGAGTACATGGAATGTCTCGAACGGTGACACCAAGTGGAAAAGAAAAAAATTGCAAAAATATGCAACAATGAACAACAGTGGTCTTTGTCCTACGGATCCTTTTGCCCCAATGCTTGTTTCACTATCTTCTATACGATTTGATGAGTGACTCCACAGGTTTGCCGAGAACTCTTGGCAAAGGTAGTCATGGCTCGTATCGCGTCCTGTCACAACACTTGCATCCACCAATGCAAGTGATTCACTTCTGTGCTTTCGTGATCTTCTGTGCCTGTCCTATAAAGATCAACACAGCAGGATTCCTTTCGACCATTCGGTCATCGAAGGCCAAAAGTCATGGCAGTGGTTCTCTAAGTGAGCTGAGTGTGAACCCCGAGCATTGAAAAAATGCTCAAAGAATGCCTAGTATATAGCTGTTTGGTGGTATGGCTTTGACACAGGCGCTACAGGCGCTTTTCCTTTGACCACCCTGCTGGTTTTTTGTGCATCTTGCGGTGGCAGCTATCAGCATCCGCTCACCGTGTGCTCTCGCAGTATGCTCCAATCCCTCACGTATCTGAGGAGTGATAGAGACTTGAAGCCATGGGTCCATCCAAAGATCCTTCTGAATCCTTGAAGGGCATTAGGGCCTGCAAAAAGTACGCATGATCACGAAACACCCTCTTCACTCTCGATCCTTCTCGGATCTGTCTGGGCAATGCCGCTCTTCGCGGCCTTGTCCAGACTGCATTGATACATGCCAGGCTTTCCAAACCAGAACGAGGCAGCTCGGTTTCAGTGAAACGCATGCGATGAAATGCCTGTTTTGTGACGCTTTGTGGCATGTGACACTCAGTCATCGTCTGAATTGTATCAGGGGATCCAACATTCATTCTTTAACTGCTTGCAAAAGGTCAGCCGCATTTTGCCGAGAAGTTCTAGTGATGCAGAAAGCCTGGCACTCAGCATCTCGGTGCCACTGGATGCTCACACTGGTTGACGAACCGGAGGGTTTTCTCGGAGATTGACTTCACATCACATTGTGAAAAACATTGCATAACATGCGATAGGAAACGTCCCAGAGCATCAAGTAGGTCTACCTATCCTGCTGGGCTGACTCTGGGTCTACCCAATTCATAGGCTGACACCACTTAAACAGCTTTTTGACATCAAGCAAAACCACCGGCTGCGGCGTCTCTCTATGCTTGACGTCCGGGAGCGATCATCGACAAAGCAAACGATTCTCAAATGTGGAGCATGGGCCTGGTGGGTTGACTACAATAGCGTTTTTTCTGCATTGACAGGATTTCCGGCGTCTGGTGCTCGCGCCACCTCATTGAGGAAGCATTGAGATTAAAGACCCGCAGGGGCTGAAAACGAGAGAGTCAGGGCGTTGGCTGGTGGCTTTTGACAAAGCGATCGTGACCTGACTCCAGACTGCTCCAGTGATTCCCAGCCCGTCTCATGCCCTGCTTGTCCCTCAATACATTTAAGATTCTGCGACTACACCATCATCGACCCCAAACAACAAGTGTTCAGTTGGTGTGCTTTCAACAGCCATGGCAAACACAAACATAAGCAAAACCGCAAAACCCTACGTTTGCACATAAGAAA